ATCATATAGTAAAATAACTTCTCAGCTACATTCTGCTCATGGAATATATTGAAGTGAAATCTAACATCATCTTTAATTCAGACAGTGGGATGCTGGAAGTCATCTTTGCTTTTGTGTTTTCTCACTGTTGGGACAAGTTGGCTGGCAGCCAGCTTCAGAGCATCCTCAGGGGCACAGCTGTAACTGGAGTGGGTCTCCTGGGGAATGCTGTGCAACCACACACAGGTCTCTGGTGCACTGGGAACACCTGTCCTTGGGAAGCTGCTGGTGAAACAGGAGATCCAAAATACTGGCTGCATCCCCATGGTTTAGGGCATCCCGCTCTGTGTGTCCGAGTGCCTTTCATGACCAGGAGGACCGGTACAAAGGCAAGAATATGGTCTTTGTCCTTGGTGGCGTGTCACTTGCTGGGTGTGTTGTCACTCGTGCTGGTGTCCCTAGAGGATCTCCTGGTCTGTAGCTGGGGCAGGCTCCTGGCTCCGTGTTTCTGCTGGTGCCTGCCGTGCACCCCACGTGCGGCTCTCGGCTGCTGGGCACGGCACCTCTGGGCTCTGCAACCCTGGCAGCCAAGGCTTGCAGCAGCTGACATGCTGGGGCTGCTTGCTGGAGTGCATCATCCACCTTTAGTGTGGCTTGTTTTGGGCTCAAGGTTTGCTCTGCTCGTTCGTCATCATTTGCTAGCCATAAAACAGGTGTATGCTACCAGCTTCAGCCTGTGTAGGGGAGCTTGGCAGAGTCTGCAGGCATCCTTTAGCATGACATGCGTTTAAAATCCCTTTTATGGTACAAGAGCCCTTACTATAAGCAGAGATAATGCTCAGAGGATTTCTTTGTTAAAAAGTTATTTTGCGTATAGTGTTTCTTTTAATACATCCTTACGCATAAACCCTCTTGATATAATTACAGCTTTGTAAATCCCCATTATTTGTTCTCTCTTTATAACAAAGGATTTGTCTGTTGAGTTACAATTGCAAGTACCTTATAAACCCAGCAACTAAGCATTATCTGTGATATACTGGAAGAAACAAGCAAATACCTCCATCTTCCTAAAAATACAGAAGTGTAAACGAAGCCTTTTTTAGGGCACTTCCAAAGTGAGGGTAATACCACTTTCCTCTTGCCTGCTAATTGTGCATTGAAAAGTTTTTAATGTGCATGAATCCAGTTTTGAATTTGAATACCTTACAGATTTTTTTTTGGTTCTGTTTTCCGTTGGTAGAAATAAACACAAAAGGCAATTCCAATGGATTGGCTTTGATACATTACTACATAGCTCCTAAACAAATATCTTACTCAGTCTGTTTGTCTCTTAATTGGAGTTTAGCCCTATTCCACCCTTCAAAAAAACCCTCTGAAGCTTCAGCATACTTGACCTTACCTCCAGAAAATAAAGCAAATATAGTTTCTTAAGGCTTTTATCCTGTGAGCTTAGCCAGAAAACCCTGATTCAACAAGATTTTGAATTTATTCATAGTTGGTTATCACTAGCAAATGATGGTTCATTGTCACTAACAGTGTTTTCTACTGCCTCTCCACAGAAGATGAAGAGAAGTTAGACAGCTGCAGACACTAATGAAATGTAACTCAGTTTAAATGAAGATTTAAATTTGCTCTATATACTGAGCACAGGAAGACATTTTCCAAAGCCCTTTTTTAGAAATACCTGTTTCTGTTTCTTTGTCTTTTTCTTATATTGGCAACCAAAACTGCTGTTTGAAAAAAAACTTCCCAGCAGAATTGTGCCTGATGATTATACAGCTGTACAACAGTTGTTGTACAACACACCTTAAAATTTTTAGAGTACCATTAATAAAAAGAAATATAACTCTTCTCTTTAAGCTTGCTTTCACTGACTTTCAAATGTCAGATTTCCATTTTATTTATTCTTCGGGTACTTTTCATAGCTCTCAATATGCAGTATGCAGAGCCTAAGGTCATATCTTGCTCAAATCATGCAGTCTGTGCCACAGTTCTGAACTGCATTGGGACAATTTACTGGGATACCTGCTATACATAGGACTTAAATGAAGGCACATGCCATACAGGTAGAAAAATGTAGAAGAAAGAAATGTAACAAAAAAAGATCCTAAACTCAATGCAGTTAGTGTGCTACAGACCATATTTTCCCCCCATTAGACTCATGTATTAAACCTTTGCTTTAATGGAACTTGCCTTAATTCTGGATGGAATTACCCTGACAGCTACATTCCAGTGTGAAGGTGTGATGGTTGTCATCCACCATCCCAAGAAAAACAGAACAGTACCAGTTATTAGAAAAAGCAGTGAGGGAAAAAAAATACGTATTCTGGATGTATCATGAGTTGGAGGTTGCCAGGCTTTATTAAGTTCTAGGATGTGTTGGGTTGGTAGTGACACCCTGGAAAAGATAACATAACAAAGTCTGTCATGTTTTATTCTAGGACTCAATAATGAACATTACTGTTAGGGGATATTATACAGCAATACTCACTGTACATTTGTCCTTCAAGATACCAGCTTATTTAATTTGGCCATCTCACAGAAGATAAAACAGGGATAATTAAGAAAATCATAATCATTCACTTGTCAGTGGGGTGATTATAAGCAGGAAAGTATATGCTTTCTGAGAAAAAGTCTTGTCTCTGCAGTACATTCTTAATGCTTACTCAGACATGTGGACAGTGATTAAAATCAGGCATCTGGTGTAAAGCAGTCTGAGTCTAAGGATGATTGAATGGCTGAAGAAACCTTGTTTTGGCTGGCTGAGCCTATCTCCCTGGACTCCTCTTCAGTAAGTTGGCTGAGGAGGGGAGTAAATTCCAGGGTGCTGTTTGTCCCATCAATCTCAGAAGTGGTGACTTCCACTGATAGTTGTAGTGTATGGATAAACACACGTGGGATGAATACCCCTGAGTTCCCAAAATTTCCCATTATCACCATTGTCATATGTTGTATATAAAGCTTGAAGGTTCCCCTTGGATTTGACTATTAGCTGCTTGGTTTTTTTAAGTTTTGATGAATATCAATAATTTAAAAATATGTATGAACGCTTCTTTTCAACATCATGATGCTTTTCATGCTTGGCTCTTTGGTCCTACACGAGGTTTTCAAGCCTAAGGGGAACACAAGGCTTCTCATCAGCTACAGTGTGCATCGTTGTGCTTTCTGTGGCACTGGGCCAGGCCCTATGGAGATGACATCCTTAAATACCTTTCAGAGGAAGAAAATAACTGGATTTAGGGCATATGATTATGTTATGTACAGAGAGAATAGCTGCCTTTTTCTGGGATCTGCTTAGTTCTCTTGAATTTAACTAATTCTTACACTACAAAAATGCATTAGCTTTTCTTTTTAGTGGCATAAATAATGTACTTTTTCTATAAAGAGGAGTAGAATAAGTTTGAAGATTTTAAATCATTATTTTGGTATTGTTTTTATTTTAAAGGTAAATTAATTCACTGTTGTACTTTTCAAAGTCAAGAATTGTGACATTAACATTTCTAATGTAAATACAGTGTACTGTAGTAGAACTTAAAGGTCTACTAACTAGAGTGTATTTAATCTTGTTAATTCTTCATTAAAACAGAGAATTGTAATGGAAATGCTGGCAAAACAGGACTGCAGACATTACTGTTTGTGCACTCATTTACAGGAGAGGGTAGCAGCTTCTGGACAGCGTTTCTGTAGCATTTTCTGTAAAGCAGCTTTGAGCTCTTTAGTATGTTCTCAATATGCATACAGCAGTACCAATGGTGATTTTTGTTTCCACATTATTTCATCTCTGAAGAGTTGGGTCAAGCTACCTGGCTGATGTTAAAAGACTTCTTAGACCCAGAAGGATGACTAGCTTCCAAGAAAAATCATTGAATTTGCTGATTTCTATGACAACAGTCATCAAGAGCAATAATAAATGGTGACTCTCTCTTGGGCACTTTCTTGGGGAGCAGGACAGATGTGAGATGGTGGCTCTTGGCTGGTCATGCTGGTGGGGCAGCAAAGCACATATTCCACTTGCATTTGGCAATCCTTACATAGGCAGGTATAGCTGAGGGAGGGGTTACATGCAGTTTTTTGGCAACAGTGGTTAATTTTTAATCTGTATGTATGCTTTAAATGGAGCTGGTTTATGAGTTTTCTGCCTCCCAGCTATGATCTTGTTCTTACTGCCCAATCTAAACACAAGCTTTCTTCTGCCCTTTTATCCTGCAGAGAGCCCATACCTGCATGCTGATTAAGATTAGCATTTTTCTCGTAGTAAACATTCTGGGGATGCATCCCTAGGTCCCAGAGTTCAGACTGAGCACACAGTCTTGTCTGCTGCCTCACAGCTCCCAGCAATCCAAGGCACGCTGTGTAGAGCTCCAGAACTGGGAATGCCTGTCACAGATTAGGCTTTGGCATGCTGTAGTCATGGCTTTTCACTCTGCAGAGTGCATGGCACAACTTGCTAACTACTGCAGATACTGGAACTGTGAAATCAAATGGCCTTGAGTCAAGACTGGTGGGGCAGGAAGAATTAAATTAACTTTCTGTGCCAGCAGAGTTCCTTGCATCTTGAAGAAGAGCTTTGCTGAGGGAGGTCAGTGAGATTTTCCCCTGCTGTCTTTTTCTTTCCCCTATGGTTTTTGTTCTTTTTTACTCCACCTCCATTGACATGCTTTTAATTCTGACAGGGTGCTGCTAAACAGAAGAATTGAAAGCCAAACTTACTGTAGCAGCTTTGAGAACGAATTTATCTCCTGGTCAGCATTGCTCATCCCCCACCCCTTTCTTTTGCCTTCCTTGGCTCTGATGGAATGAGAGCTCTCTGGCTTTTTCAGACCCGTTTGGCTGTCTGGGGTCTTTTGTGAAAAAGGAAATTGTAGTTACTTTGTTCAATCAGTGTCTTTGTGGACCTCTGAACACCAGAGCATCCTGCAGAGACTAAAAAAAGTAAACAGAAAAAAAAATCTAGGGTGAATCTGTCTAGAGGACTGAATAAATTTCCATCTTCTGGTAACTTTGTTTTTTTCTAAATGAAGATGTCTGTGATGGGTGTGAGGAGCTTGAAAGTAAGTTTTAATAGGATGAATGGGATTTGATGGATAAGAAGAAAAGTATAAGAAGAAAAGTACTGCTCTCATCCCTAATCTGATATCTGTTCAAAGACCTAGGCAGAATATGTACTTTATATCTAAATTTTCTGAAGAACACTTTTGTGCTCTTTTCTCCTGTTGTGTACTGGATAAGTGTTGGATCATATGGAAATAAGTTGTTTTAGCTAATTGGGTGTATTCCTTTTAGGGATCAGACCCATATTTTAGTTAACAACAAGTTATCTTCTGGTTTCCAGTTTCTCCTAAACAGCATACAACAAAAAAGGTGAAATAATAATGACTGAAACAAAAAGGAACATTTTTAATTTGTGTAACTCCATGCAGTCACGAATTTTCTGTGTGTTAAAGTAGGAAGTTTTTGTCTACATCTATTCTGCTGTCTGATCATTTTAGCAGTATTGGTTTCCTGTGGTTCAACAACTCAGTGGTGAGTCTTCCTTAAGAAAGATCATGAACAACTTCAGTAACAAAGTACATTGTTTTAACAATCTCTATCAGTAGGTTTTTAAAGTATTAATTATAGTATTTATAAAACTAAGAAGGTTCATAAGTTGTTCTGAAAAAGATGGAACTTGAAAAAAATATTTACAGGTTTTTTCTTTGGTTTTTTTGGTACCTAGATTGAAAGGATAATTGTAAATACCCTGTTGAATTTATAGAGCCTCTTGTCACTGAGTGTGGACAGTTGTCTTCTTAGTTTAACTTAATGGTACTGATGTGCCTTTGTGGCAGTCTGATAGAATCCTCCTAGAGTCTGCCCAACGTTAACACATTTGGTGACTGGCAACATGTATAGTTTTTACTGTAAAGAGGCATATGCTTAGCAAAATGACACATCTGAATATTGCAATGTAAATGCCCTTGCTTTTTAACTTTTTTCTTCCCCTGTAGCGCTCTCCCCCTCTATCTAAGCAATAGGCATTAAGCATGAAGGCAGTGCAAGCAGTAAACAGGAGATATATTTTAATTTTAAATTCTTTACCAAGGTGTCCGAGGCAGATAAGGCAGGAAACCTGATAAGTCTTCTGCAGGGACTATTGAATGCATGAACCTCACTTATCCACTGTTGTTTTGGGCACACTGGAGTGGAGGTTATCTCCACTTGGATAAAAGCCAGATCTTTTGAGGGTAGAAGCTTCCTGCTACCTGATGGAGATAGTAATGGTCCTCTTGAGCAAATGTCTGCTGAGACCATGGGGATAGACAGGCAGCAGGGCCCGTGAGAACCTGGGATAGGAGGAGCTCATGGCCCTCATTATAGCTTGTCCTGTTATCAACAGCTAGATCAGATCAGGAAAACTTATGCAAATTGTTTTTTAAAGCATGCTAGGGTGGTTTGGGTTTTTTTCTGGGAGTCATAAACTCTGCCAAAGTAAGCCTCCATTCTTCTTTTAAAAGTATGTAGGATGCGTTAAATATGCTTCAAAGCAGCTTGCACTGTGAGTGTTTCTAGCATAGAAATACTTTCCTTTAAAACTGTGGATCTTGTCACAAGTCCAGGATGACTTTTAGTCTTCTTCAGACTTGCTGCTGTACCTGCTTTATGATTAAAAGAGGCTAACCTGTAAGATACACCTATCCCTTTCCAGAAAGAACCATTCTGGTCCCAGAAACTTTGTGCTGTGGACTGTAGTAGTATTGTGATAGGTGAGTAACAGAGAACCAGAGATGCAATATGTCCTCAGTTGCACTCTGACTAGCTTCAATGGGTGTTTTGCATGAGAAAAGTAAGAAGGATTTGGCTCGTGCTGTAATAAATCCCACTCAATCCTATTGAAACCCTGCATAGCATCCAGTGATAAAATACTTACTGGTTCTGTCCCTTGATTCCTGCATGCAAAATCTTTCTTCAATTACTTTTTGTGGGTGACCCACACCTGAAGCCAGACAGGTAAATGTGAACTAATCTGGTACTGATATATGTTTTTAATAGCTGATTATCAGGGGGAGCTGTAGAAAAATTAGACCTATGAGGATTTTATATTTGACTAAAGACTTAAATGACCTTTTAGTTATTCTTCTTCCTTTAAAGGTACACATTGTGCAGGTACTCTGTTGTGGGAAATCAGACTTTGTAAATGTCAGCTCTTATGAGCTGACTCATAAAAATGGGATCTCATGGCTTTTCTCAAAACAGGTATTTAATTCAATGATTAACTGCACTCCAGGAATGTCTCTCTTTAAGTTTACCTGTTCCATTTGTAAAATAGTCTCATTTTATAGGTCTCTCAAAAATATCAGGTGGCCATACCTCAAATGAAGGGAAGAGGCACTTCTACTATTCTCTTAAGCTTTTTCCCCCTCAGATTGACAGATTTATTCCTAGAAGAATCTGTTTTAACACTGCTGTCCCCCGAATCACAGTATTTTCACTGTAGAGCAAATAATTAATCTCTTCAACCATTGCTCTGATTGCATTCTTTGAGGCCAAACTTCGAATTTGTCCTTGGCAAAGATGAACAAGGTCTCTCCATGTTTTCTCTTCATCTGTAAATCTCTAACCATACTGACTGATGGCTAATGAAGTGTATGATAAGTGCTAGAGGTTGAGATGCTTTGCCTGTGACTCAGCATGATTTTCTCTGCTTTTCAACAAATACTACTAATAATTGTCAGATTTTATTAGACTTGACTTCTTGTTTTCTATTTCATGTTGTATATTATGCTAATTTAGAAAATGAAATAAGAAAAAGTATGATTTTGTTCTTGCATTGGTGACAAAAAATACCCATTTACTTCGGAGTTACCAGAATCCAAGTGCCAGTTATAATGCTGGTGCTTGCAAATAGTTCTCTCCAGTTGTAAAGGAATGAAAAAAACTCATAAAAGAAATGAAAGGTTAATTAATATTTTTGCAGGCCTCAACATTCATTGATTGTTCTGAATTATGCCTGGACTTTCCCAGAATACTCTTAAAGCTTTTTTGTTTTTTGATTTTGTGATGGGTGTCAGTAAATTGTTGACAAATGTGTCACACAGAGTGGCTGAGATGAAGTAGGTGTTTATTGAAATAGCTTGATGCTTTCTTTCATTCTTCTAATCTGTCACTGACCCTACCTGAAAATGGCTACTTTAAAAAAAAAACCTTCCAGGCTGAGAAACTCTTTGAAGGGGCATACTGCAATGCAAATCCATCTTATAATAGAAAATAACAAATGTCCAATAAAAATAATGGCAACACAAACACAAATACTGTTCATGAGATGCAGCTTGAAGTGAAAATAAACCTACTGAATGTGTCTAATCAGCCTGTAGCTTAGGTGGTGAATTGATGAGATCAGTTGTTTGTATTGATACTTCCAAAGCATTTGAAATGTTTGTTCAGAACAGCTAATTAAGATGGTAAATAAATAAAGAGCTCCACTCCAGAGTGTTGAGAACGATTAACCTTGCAAAATAACAGAGACTTACTACAGTTATGTAAAAAGAACCTTTCAGTTTTGGTGTTAATTGAAGTGAAACTAAAATAGTTACTTCAGAAGGTTCTTTTTACCAAATGGATCTTAATACAGATTTCTTTACTCTTTTCAGTGAAAGAACAGAAAATGAAGCTCTAATAAGGTAAGATTTTTTTTTTATTCCACTTTAGTAAGACATTCAAGCTAATTTGAGATAATTTTAACAAATATACTTAGCATTTTAGTCTAGATCCTGGACGAGTAGATTTCAGCATTTTGCTAGTAGATCCCTGTTTGGGTCAGTATGTCAAAGCACAGAAAAAGCAAGAGTACAGTATTGCAGAATGAGTCTAACAACATTTAACTTCTTGTTGTTGTTGCTGAACCACTATTTGGACTTTAATCAAAATAAAATGCCTTCATAAATTTGGAAACTTCTTTTTGCCTGTTAGGAATTTGCAGTTAATTATTTTTCAGCAGATGCTATAATTTTCACTACGCAGTCAATGAAAAATCTTCATTTTCTTCTAGTTTGAAAATGAAATATTAGAGGATATGCTGATAAAATAAGTAGGTTGGTCACAGATTTTTGATTTTTGAGATGTGGTGGTGGTAATTTATGAATTACACAGTTAAATAAATAAAGGGGGGGTGAACATTTCTCCTTATGTATAACATAATTCAACTGCATTCTGAAAATGGATTCTGCGTCATCTGCTAGATGGGAAAAAGAAGAAGGTCTTTCAATAGTAACTGCAAGGGATGTTAAAAATGTGGTTTTATCTTTCCATTTCTTCCATTGCTAGTGAGGATGCTGACATTCATGTGGTTTGTCACCTAGAAAATGAAGCATCTATGTCAAATAACAAAGCCAGGTGTACAATAGCGAGTTGTTCTGACAGGCAGCTGAAGTATGAACCTGCTGAGAGCATTACAAAAATATATAATTACTTTCCTGTCACAGTTAATATTTCAATTATAATAGTAATTCTCAGGATTACAAGGAAGGGGAGTGCTGTTAGTTATTGTTTTCTTTTCCTCCCATATTTGCCTGGTTTGGTTTTTTGTATCAGTGGTTAAAGTAAAATTTTGCAGAGTTGTTGGCTGGATTTCGTACACCTCCTTCAAGTCAAATGGCTTCCAAATGGAAGAGTGTTCAAAAGAAATTTTTTAAAAAGCTGTTGACATCAGTAAAAGTTGATATGTCTGCATAAACTGTGCTCCTGGTTTGCAGTGGGGCATTCTTGGAATAGGGAAGAGGGAGGCTTAAAAAGAAAAGACATTTAAGCTATGCAAAATATAAACTGCTAGAAACCACAAGTGAGTAGAAATGTGAAGGATTAATGGAAAAAACAGTAGTGTTGTGAAAAAGTAATGAGGTGTCATAACAAATGGTGGTGTAAATAGCAGACTATCTCTGCAGTTCTTACTTTGTATTGGTACAGGGAGAGTATGTGCATCTATTTGCAGCTACAAAGGTGTGTGCTTATATAATACATCCCTGAGACAGCAAGATGCTGCTGTTTTTCACCCAATCAGTGAGAAGGACTGAAAACCCTTCTGGAATAGAGCTGATGAAGCTAAGGAACTTTATAATGCATTGAGAACCACATGGGTAGTGCAGGGATTTTGTAAATGCCAGAAGAAATTCTAGTTCTGAGCAGTCTTTGTACACTGATCTCATCAACATCCATGATCCAGGAAGAGCACAAGTCCTCCTTCTGTCTCCTTACCAAGATTCGGCCATACAAGCACTGGGCAAATGTTGCAAAAACGAATTAAACTTGCTGTGTCTGTAGTTGATCACCTAACACAAGGGAGCCTTATGTGGAGCCTCTGAATGCTGCAGTAGTACAAATACCTAAGTAATATGCCTAAGTAATATAGCATGACAGCAGTGGTGGAAATTTACTTATTTTGTTTACCAGAGTTACAGCTGGAAGTATTTTAGGGTATACATTGCTCACTCCTGGATTTCTGCCTTGGCAGCGCCTGCAGAAGTACCAGGTCATTTTTATGTGATTTGACATATGGGCAGTAGAAAACCACCTGCCACCAGCCATCTTTTTCTGTCTAAGTTAACTGCAGTGTTTAGTAACTACTAGGTCCAGTTTGAGCCAGAATTTATCAGTTAGGTTGAAAATGAAGCTATGCAGGTTGCAGTGCTGTTCATCCCAAATCTCCAGGTCAGACAAATGGGTGCTAGGGAAGCTGGAAAAGCTTGCTAAAGAAGGTGTTCAGTGCCTTCCCCTCCCTTTTCTCTTTTAGTCTCTTTAGTCAAAGGCTATCTCTAATACACCACCACAGATGTTGTGCGATTGACTCAGGAATCCCTGTCTTGGTTTGCCAAGCAGGCAAAATATTTATCTCTGGTAAGAGAATTTTGAGGTGTGGTGTGGTTAGTATCTAAAAATATCAGTGTAGGGAGATGGGATAGGGCTCCAACAGACAAAAACACGGCAAGATAAGGAAGAGGAGTTCAGGTTGGAATTACGATACCGTGGGTGTATTAACCATTGGAAACGCTTAGAAAGGAATGTGGTAGATCACTTGGAGTAATTAAATCAAGATTAGATCTGCTTCTGAAATATCTCCTAGTAGAGTTACAAGTTCTTGTGCTTTGTAAAGAAATTGCTGCATGAGGTATTACAGGCTGTGCCAGGCAGGAAGTCAGACCAGATTACCATAAGAGTTCCTCCAGGCCTTTTAAATCCACATCTCCACCAACAAAGGCTCTTATGTGGTACAGTCTGCCACAGAATTTCCAAAACCTGAGGTGGAGCAGGTCACTCTTGTTTCAGTGGTGAAAGGTTGAGAAGTCTTTGAGCAGATCCTTGCAGAGACGTGGTGGTGGGTACTCAGTGCCGCTGAGCTTGTACATTTTGTGCTTCAGTCCCTTGGACCAATACTGAGCCAGTTTCTGCCTTGTCTCATCAGCCTTGTCTGATTTAGTAGGTTGCATTTTTTATTGAGTTCAGTGAAAAATAATAATTGTTCTGTGATACTTGTTGAATCCCTTCAATTAAAGTCGTGGATGAGTTCAGAATTTTCTTCAGTAATTCCATTGTCTTTAACACGGGATCTTCTATAGCCACTCTTAATGCCCCTATGAGTAGAAAGGGCAAGGGACATTTTTAGCAGATTATGTAGAATTCCTAGGATAAAATAATCTGCTTTCCACAAAACTGAAAATGTAGTAACTTGTGTGTTTGCTCTGGGACCTGCATGCAACACTGAGAGTGGAGGACACTCTTCTTTTAGTTCTCTTCAGCTACAGGGAAGTGTATTCTTGTCTTACTGGGTTAGAGGCAGCAGATCCTTTTAATAGAAAAGACATTAAAATAGATTAAAAAGTAATTTTATACTAAAAGAAACACAAAACACTGTGGTGAACAAGAATAGCCCTGGCTCCTTCTTGTTACTTTGATAAGCTCATTAATTTCAACATTCAGAATTAATCAGGAATTACTGTGCAAAATCTTGCAAATGGAAAAATCCGTCAACTTGACCTCAGAATTATGTCACCCTACTGTAGTTAGGTTGCATAGCTTTTGTTGCAGGAATGTTCAGTGTAATTCCACAGCAGCATGACAGGAAGAACAGCTAAAAGTTGTCCTGGCCATATGTGGGGATAAGAACTTATTCAGGAAAGTTTTCATGTAATTCTGTCTCTTTAGAAAGATCTATGAAAAACGTTTTCTGAAAAATTATCCAGGGTAAATTCAAGAGTGAGCCCAGGAATATTAGCAGATTTTTTTTTCCAGAATACCTGATACCCAGCCTGACCAGTGGTTTGCACTTGGTACCTGATCATCCCTACTGCTCTCCCTCCCTGAAGCAACGTTCATTTATGGTTTAAACATGGGAGCCTAGACCTGAATTGGAAAAAATATTGGATGAAAACAATAGCAGAACTAAAGTAGAGAAGAGAAATACCATTGTGTTTGATAAACCAAAGTAAGGGGTTGAATAAATAAGTTCGTGTCCCTCCATGTGGAGGCTCCACCTGCTTTCATGGACACCCAAGAAAGAGGACAAGATGTTGGGGAAGAAAAAAAAAAAAAAATTACCCTTGCTAGTAGGTTAGGGATTCATGGCTGTGGTGAAAGGAGAGAAGACTTTGGCTAGTCAGATAGTCAGGAATCAAAGATGTTTGCTTGGTTGCTGTGCAATAATAGTTGTGATTTTTTAGCGTGAGGTTCCTTCCACGTCTCTTGAAAATATGTTACATGCCTATGATTTTCACAAATTCCTGATAGCCATAATACTGAATGTGGAGAGTATTTAAAAACAAACTTCAGGTGTTTTTGCAAACAGTGAGTCACTCTTAATGGATACTTCAGTTCTGAAAAGGAATGGAGGAGACAGTGCCATGGAAGAAAATTGCCCTCTCCGTTATTTGAGACATCATATTGCTGTTATTTCTTTCCATGTGAAAGCTCATGGCTAAGTCATTTAATGTAAAGGAAAACAGTCTTTTCTACCACAGAAGAAGTGCCTGTACTGGACAGTGGCACACAAGCCTGCAAAATTAACTTTGGTTATCACTGAGAGTTTCCATGGCATTTCTTTCTGTTCAGGCAATTAATGCTGTAAAAGCATTCCACATGACAGAAAAGAGCAGTTGTGTTGAGGTCTGGGGAGTTCCTTTGGCACATCTCCAGTGCACTGCTAGTCCAAAATTCATTGTTTGTATCTAAGAACTGCACTTGCTTTAAAAGCTCGGTTTTACTGCATTTGAAAGCTATTCAGTCTTGTTTCCTGCACTTTGTTTATTTAGTAACTCCTATACAAGAATCCGTGATTTTGCCTGGGTAACTTGCTGCTCTCTTCCAAGAGAGAAATATACTGTTTTTAAAATTTTTTAAATCCACATGCTAGGTTGGGGCACAAGTCAGTGTAAAGAAGTACCTGGTGCTTACACTGTGCTCACAGTGTCTGCTCAGATGACAGTGCTGTGCTCACTGTTACACAACTCTGCAAAAAGTGTCGATTCAGGGAAATTCTGCTGCCATGAGAGAATGGGAGCATCAGGAATGTTCTCTCCCGCTGAATGGAAATGTGGCTTTTGGTGACCAGTACATTTAAAAAATAGCAGATTGTGTGTATGTGCACATTGACAGAGTCCAACTTGAACATCACAGTGATGTTCAGGACAGCAGA